AATCCTCATACACATTTACACATTTCCTCTCTACCTCCTCTTTCTTCCTATCTCTATCACTCTCTAAAAATCAATGGGAAAGATATCCTTGGGTGAAGATTAACAACAATAACAAATTTAAAACAAGAAGAAAATTCTCTTCCACACGTTAAATGTCCATTTAGGCTGAAATGGAGCAAAATAAAGACCCATCTCCCCAGGTTCAGGGCTGAGCGAACCTTTAGACCCTCCGAAGCACCCTGCCCTCTGCACACACCTGCTCAGGCAGGCGCAGGGGTCTGACGGGTGGGAGAGCAGGCCCACCGAGGGCTGTGGGGAGGAGCTTCCGGGGAGACCACCAGCAGTTCCCCTTGTCCTCGCACAGATCTTGCGGTCACTGAAGGGCTACGACTCCTACAACACCCTGCTGCTGCCACCCCGCGTCCCTGGGGAGAAGCTGCCCCCAGAGGTGTACGAGTACTTTAAGGAGATGAAGCAGTCCAAGGAGGAACAGATGAAGGCGAAATACCTGGAGGCTCTGGCTCAGGACAACGGTGAGAGCTCCTCTCAGGGGCCGGATCCGCTACTGCCCTGGCTTCTTTGAAGGGTCCCTGGGCCAGGCAGGCGCGAGGTGCCTTAGGCATTTTATTTCTAATCCTTACAAAGTGGTACCGTTAGCCCTGGTGTATGGGTGCGCAGAAGGGACACTTTCTGCTCTGGAAAGGCCCTGTCTTCAACTACAGTCACAGTCTGGGTACTCGGGAGCTAGGGCTTCAGTTATGAGCTTCAGGGGAGCCAATAAGCCCCCACAAACATGCTATGTTGAAAGCACTGAGCTGAAGTGCTGGAGGGAAAAGATCAATGAAACAGCCCCTGCCTTGGAGAGGTCACAGGAAGTGGATGGAGGGAAAGACATCGCCTCTCAGGGCTGCCTGGTGGCCCGGGGTACAGAGCTGAGAGGCTGTGACGTTCAAAGGACGTCACGAAGTCAGGGAAGGGCCGCGTCCCTCTCAGCCCATCCCACTCCGCAGCTGTGGGCTCCTTTCTCCCCTTGGCCCGTTGAGGAGCCCGGGACGGGGACACTCTGCTTCTTCCCAGTGCTTCCCGGGCCTCTGCTCACTCTGCCCTCTCACCGTCGACCATCCTGCTCCCCTTCCCACACCGCGTCCAGGGGAGGCCGCGGTCGCAGGCCGCATTGCCACCTTCACGAGAGAGCTGCAACCTCTCTGGCTCAAATCCAAACCCTCAGCAAAGAGGATGCCTGGACCCTGGGGTGGGGGTGGACGTCAATGTATACAATCCCAGCCGTCCTGTGCACGCACCCCCTGAAGCGCTGTGGGATGGGCGATGAGGGGGGTGCTGGGCCGACAAGAGTCAATATGCTGAACACTCAGCAGGGGGAGATGTCCATGACAGTTACAGGGAAAAGCAGGTTACAAATTGGTGTGTACAAGACTGGTTTTGGAAAGTTAACCGCGTGAGAGGTTGCTAGCTCTCCTGTACTGGTATCATAAAACCAAGCTGCGATTCCTCTGTCACCATTTCTTTATCGATATCTCTTTTTGAAACTGAATTTTATAATTTTTTTGCTTTTCGGAATTTTCCAAATTTTCTGGAGCAATAATTTTGGGGATATTTTATGTTAAAATGTAGAAGCACTCTGGGCAGAGAAACTGCAGTTCTTGTTGATTTGAGCTGGATGATCCAGGATGATAGTAACCAGCAGTTCTCTTTGTCGTTTTCCTTTTTCACCCACTCTCTCTTGTCCCCCCACCACCACCACCACCAGCAGAAGACGAAGATATACCCTTGTCGGAGCAGGTAACGGTCTCCAACGTGAAGAGGGGCTCACTTAGCCGAGGGATCTCTGTCACATCCGACCTGGAGGACTGGGAGGAGTCCAAGAACAATCCAGATGATGAAGAGGATGATGACAGCCTGGAAAAACTAGTGTTTCAAAGTAACCAGTATTT